AACGTTGGAGTCCTCCGTCACTGAAGCAAGCAAGCCTCATGTTAGTTTCAAGCTGCCTGGCTGCCGGTCGCCATCTTGGCTGACAGTTAATTTGCATATCTCGCTGATTAGCCAATGGGAAGGGTAGCGGTCGTACGCCAATCACCATGTTTCTCTTTTATTAGATAAGGATAATAAAAGGCTAATATTCTTGCCAACATTGACATTGTCAGGTTTATCAATCAGAAGGTTTCTAAATGGAATTGCCATTTTCCTAATTATTAATGAGGTTGAATACAGGAGTGATTGAAAACACTGAACTAGACATAACTGATGCAGGAGGACCCCCTCCCAGTCTAGATATGACCCTTTAATTTCTGGTGTGGGGGTCTCAAGGTAGTGACTGTTTACCAACCAGTACATAAGTACTTTAGTATTTAATCATATGGCTAATTGTTAATGTTTTAGGACCATTTTTATTTCTTCTGTGCAATGCCACTTTTTTACTGGATTATCTTTGTTGATTCACAAGGATTCATTATAACCCTTTATCAGTACATACCATATCCCAGTCTTTTTCTAAGTAGAAGTCTTAATTATAATGAAGTAGAATTTACCACATGTTCCTCCTTTAGATAGCACTGTTTCACTTTTGAGAACTCACAGGAGAAGCCCCACACCCTGTTCTCTTTTAAGAGCATCATAGCTCAGCTTATCTTCTGTATAAATTTTAGAATCATCCCTAGCCGGTTTGGCATAGTGGACAGAGCTTTGGCCCGTGGGCTGAAAGGTCCCGGGTTTGATTCCAGTCAAGGGCACATACCTTGGTTTCAGGTTCCCTGGCCCTGGTCAGGGTGCATGTGGAGGCCACCAGTCGATGTGTCTCTCTGTCTCTCCCTCTCCCTTCCACTCTCTCTCTCTAAAAAAAAAAAAAGGAAAAATATCCTTGGGTGAGGATTAACAAAAAATATTTTAGAATCAGCTGGTTTACATAATATGAAATAAAATAGAAAGAACTGGGGATTTTGCTCAGATATGCATTTAATCAATGGGATCCAGTTTGGGGAATAACTAGCCTCTTATGATACTGAATCTTCTTATTTATGAATATGGTTATATTTCCCTATTTGTGCAGGTTTTTCCTCATGCCTTTTGATGAAGTATTAGTTTCCTACAGAAGGGTATTATAAATCGTATTTGATTTACCCCTAACTTCTATATTTTGTCTTGCTGTTTTATTTTTTTTAAATATATTTCTTTATTGATTTCAGAGAGGAAGGAGAGAGAGATAGAAATATCAATGATGAGAGAGAATCATTGATCGGCTGCCTCCTGCACACCCCCCACTAGGGATCGAGCCCGCAACCCAGGCATGTGCCCTTGGCTGGAATCAAACCTGGGACCCTCCAGTCCACAGGCCGATGCTCTATCCACTGCGCCAAACTGGCCAGGGCTGTCTTGCTGTTTTAAAGTATATCTTAAAACTTTTTAAAAACTCCATTATTAGAATTGCATGATTTTTAGACAGTGAAGGTACAGTAGTATTAGAAATGTTTTAATTTAATTAATTAAAAAAATATGAGCATGATTATATTAAACTGTATAATATACAATCTCTGCCAAAGTTTAGCTTAAATAATAAAACCTGCTGTGACTTCTGACTAGCAGATACACTGGAAAGTTCATGAGACACTGTAGCACAGGGGGCACGTTACTCCACCATCGCTAAATCTTTCAGGCTTTGGCTCTTCTGTCTCTTGGCCTTATAGCCAGGACGCAGGAACTCTATCTTTCTTTTCTTTGCTTCACTTTTACTTTTGTGTTTTTTCAGCTTCTTCTTGGTGGCAATATCAGGATTGGTTACAAACTTGAAAAAAGAATAGAAATGTTCTATTACTTTTAAAGTAAATGTTAAACTAATAAAAATCAAATGCACATATGGACCATTTCATTCACCTTCAAGCAACACAAATGTTTACACGCCCACTAAAGAAAAGCTGGAGCCCCAGCTATGATATCCGCACTTCTCAAACACAGCCAGCTCGTCTTCCTCCCTGGGTCCGTGCGACATGTGTGCACACACCCCTGGGTCAGTGCGACACGTGTGCACACACACCCCTGGTTAAAAGTAGTCACTAAGCATGATGAACATGCCGTGTTGTATTTTCAAACAGCAAACGTACCTCCAAAGCCTTCCTCTTTTTCCGGAGTGCCCTTTTCTCATGAGCCTGTTTCTGTACAGAGGCGAAGGCTAATGAGAAGCTCTCCAGCCCAACCAGCTTTTTGAGTAATTCTATGATTTCCTGGGATAGATTCTTTAGCAAAGGATCTGTTCACACACAGAATAATAACCACAGTCAGTTACCTAGGAAAGGATACATCTGAATAGCTACACAATCAATAACGTGAAATATAAACTACGGCATTATCACTTTTATTACTTGAACATTAAACGCTAATCTGAAACTAACCCCTACACTTCTGAGATGAGAAAACCAGCAAAAGTGTTGGACACAGCTCCCAGCCACCATCTCATCCAGGATTCAACAAGAGACCAGAGACAGCCCACTTCCTAGCAGAATCCTGGCTCAGAAGACATTAATCTGAGAACTGGACAGCACTGTTCTGGGCTACATTTGGTTAACCTGCTCAGCTCTGCAGATGTGGGGGAAGGTAAGTGTGTTTCTCCAGGCCCTCGCCGATTCACAGGTCACAGAGGCTTACCTCTGGCCATAACTCTGTGTGTGTGGATTAAAGACTCCTTTGTGAAGCTGATGAAAAGCTTCCCTGCCTCCTCTCTCCAAAATGCAAAGAACCCAGATCTCTGCATCAATTTCAGGAGAGTTCAGTGTACCTGTTCACGTTTCCAGAAAATAGGTACTAGGCCTTTTCTCCACTGTTGAACCCCCAGTGCCTGCAGATATTAGGTGCTCAGTCTATGCTGGCTGATGAGAACCAAAGCAGACCTGGCCTTCACCACTGCTTTGCCTCTTTAAGAGGAAGGAAACTCAAGGTTGTAGGACCACAGCAGGTCCTGCTTTGACATTTACTTCATTTGCTTTATTTTAAAACTTTTTAACATCTGCTTTACTTTCTCTTTCCAACCCCCAATTCCCTCTTTTCTTAGTAGCAAAATAGACATTTTAGGATCAGTGAGGCTGACAGGAAAAAGTGAAATATTTAAACTGAACATTTCATACTTCTGCCATATAATTCTTGAGAATTATATTTCACAGTTCATGATTGTTCATATAGCACTATGAGGTTTAGAACCACCCTAAATTATAGTTTTCTTTAAATATTCGTGCCTAGGAATAAAACATCTTTTAGGAAACGTTCACTCTTAGACACACAAGGAAGCAAAATGAAGGTAGTCAAATGTAACACAAACATGCCTTATTTGTTTGCTATTAATTATCTTGTTTTCTTAACACATTGCGTACTGCATAGAAATCTCTAAGACATACGCCAGGGACCGCAAGTTTTTGGGCAAACTGCATGTTATTTAAATCATCATAATGCACTTTAGGTGTTGTTTTTCAATAATTATAACATTTTTGTTTACAAAAACAGTTAATGAAAGTTCCTAGTACTTTTTTAACGTATGGTACTGCATAAAACATTTTCCTCTATGAAGAGGGACCAAACAAAATTTACGTAAGTATCTAGATTCGCTCCTTTTTCCATGGGCATGAAAAACGAGAACACTCGTGAGCGGTCCTTAACAGATGGCGCGCGAAACATGAGAAAACTGAGCGGTATGAAATGTGTTAACATAAACTGGCAGGGAGGGAGGGCAAGAAAGAAGAAGGAAGTATTCAGGAGAGAGGTGCAAAGTACTCAGAAGAGGTTACCCTGGTCCGAATAGGTGCTGTTCAGTTCTCGGAACAAAGGAGCTATGATCTCTGGGAGATACGGCTTCACCTTGTCTACTCCAAGATCCATCGCCACAGCTCCGAGAAACTTATAGATGCATGTTCTCTGAAAATATACATTAAAAGTGTTTCTCTAATACTTGCAGCCATACAAATAATATAGAAAACAAGGTCCATTTGGGGGCAGATATTATTGCTTCAGTTTTGGGTGCAAAAGTTCCTAGGAACTTGGGAGGATCACTGATACCACTAAAATATTTTTAAAAAACATAAAAGCCACTTTGAGTCACTCTGTACATGTCTCACACCTTTAAGGGGTTTCTAGGTGAGTAAGCAGCTTCCAGTTTTGCAATCCGAGACAACTTCTGGATCAACCACAGCAGCGTGGTTGGCTTGCTGTGCTCTTTCTTCCCCTCTTCATTCTGTTCTTGGTCAGATTCCGCCTTCCCATCTGCATGGGCCTCATGTTCTACTGCCTCTCTGGCCACACCACCTGCTACAGCTTCTTGTTCTTCCATGCCTTCTTTCATCTGACCTTGCTTATCGCCAGAATCATGTTCCAGTAAATATAATACTTTAGCTACGAACAACAAATTCTTAACAACCTAAAAAATGAAACGAAAGTGTTGGTATGCCAGCTGAGATCACACTTTAGATACAGCATTCACCTAGTTTCTAGTTTCCTAATTTGTATTGCTCTGTCTGGTCCATAACAGCTCACAAGAGACGTGCCAGTGCCTTGCTCCTGTCCATATGCCACACTGTGTTCCCTCACCACTACCAGTCCAACTGCACTATCAAAAGAGAGAAGGGAGCAGCAAACCAACTATTCAAAAGCAATTTACATTTACTGCATTTTTATAAACTAGAGGCCCGGTGCACAAAAATTTGTGCACTCGGAGGGGATGGGGGTCCCTCAGCCCGGCCTGTGCCCTCTCGCAGTCTGGGACCCCCTCGGGAGATAACGACCTGCTGGCTTAGGCCTGCTCCCAGGTGGCAGAGGGAAGGCCCAATCCCTAGGTGCAGCCCCTGGTCGGGCTCAGAGCAGGGCCGATTGGGGAGTTGGGGCGCCGCCCCGTCATGCACAGAGCAGGGCGATCGGGAGGTTGTGATGCCACCCTCAGTCACGCTCAGGGTAGGGCCGATTGGGGGGTTGGGGCTCTGTACCCTGTCACGCACAGAGCAGGGCCCATCAGGGGGGTGGGGTGCTGCCCCCTGTCACGCACAGAGCAGGGCCTATCAGGGGGTTGGGGCACCGCCCTCTATCACCCACAGAGCAGGGCTGATCAGGGGTTTGGGGTGCCACCTTCTCACACTCAGGGTCGGGCCGATGGGGAGGTTATGGCTCTACCCCGTCACACACAGAGCAGGGCCCGTAGGGGCAGAGGGGTTGTGGTGCCACACCCTGTCACACACAGAGCCGCAGGGCGATCAGGGGGTTTGGGCGCTGCCCCATTGCAGTTCAGAGGCCTGCAGCAGCAGGCGGGGAGCATTGGAGTCTTCTGTCACTGAAGCAAGCAAGCCTCATGTTAGTTTCAAGCTGCCTGGCTGCTGGCCACCATCTTGACTGGCAGTTAATTTGCATATCTCACTGATTAGCCAATGGAAAGGGTAGCGGTAGTACGCCAATTACCATGTTTCTCTTTTATTAGGTAGGAGGATGCCTTCTCTATAATTTTACATGTGGTTAAACTTTATAATATGGAAATATATAAAGCTTTTGTGATAGAATTACTTGTCTTCTGTTAAGACAATTCTCAGACCACCCAGTAGCAAGAACATTACTTTCTCTTCAAATACTAAGAAAAGGAATTCAATATTATAATTTAATATGAAAATAATTAGTCACAATGTGGAGTAGATAAGACTAAAGATGAAAATATTTAATAAACAGCCACTCACTGTACTGTCTGTATCAGGAATTTTAAATGTCGCCAAGAATAATCCCCAATGGATCCCAGAGTGAATATGTTTATATTTCAGTTAATTCCCTAAGCATTTAACTAGGGAAAACAAAACAAAAATCAAACACCAAATGTGAGCCTTTTCCTAGACTGTTGGTAGAACAGGTCCCTTTTATTTAACCAGATAGGATTATGATACTTACCTGCTCTCCTTGAGACTGATCCAAGAATTTGGAATGTAACTGATGGCAAGAGGCTAGGGAGATACTTTTCATCTGTGAAAATAGACATTGGAAGATACAATACAAGCTATTTCTGAGTGGATTTGGAGAGGGAAGGTTCATGACTAAAAATTGTATAATAGTTCCCTTCTACCTGCCACAAACATTTAAGCTTTGGGGAGATATAGATTGTGATTTCTGAGATTATTAGAAGGGAATTTTACAACACTCCAATACCTTTATTCCCCTCTTCCCTTCTTACTCTTCTCATTCATCAATATATACATAGTTCCCACTATGAGCCAGGCATTGTGCTGCTCCCTAGGGAATCAGAGATGGAAATAACATGGTCCCTTCCTAACATTTTCATGAACCATGACCTCATTAATTATCAATAAGGTTATGAAGGAGGCAGGACAGACAGTATTAATCTTATTTTCCAATGTTGATACTTAGACAGTAAGATATTGAATGGTCTAAATAAGCAAAGCAAAAATCTGACTAGATCGACAGTTTAAAAATTACCTTTGAAAAAACTTGGCCTTGAGGATGACCGCTTTCTGGTTCCTAAGATTCCTATAGACTCACATACCCAACAAGTTGTTGGCTGGAAGAATTTCTCCCAAGGGCGAACCCCAGGATATCACATGAACCAGAATGAACATCGCACATGGGTCACCAGGGAAGAAAGGTTTTAGAGAAACCTTACCTTTTGGTCAAGGTCACTTGCTAGGAACCTGACTGCTACAGGTTCTGAGAGTTTCCTTTTAGTTTTTTTGGCATTCCGTTTTCTAATAAGCTCCTCTGGTTGGCAAGAGGCAAAGAGCAATCCAACAATCTGGGCTGCCGTGAGCCACACCCAGTTGTGTGGATGTCTCAGGTGAGCGTGCACGTGGCCTAAGGGAACCAAAATGCATTCTCAGATATCAACAGATTTCTGGACTCCGGTGATAAATAGGACTAACAGGCATTTCCTGAGTACCTATGATGTGCCTGGATTTGGGAACTGAAAATGAGGGAGCAATGAGGTGAGAGACACTGGGAACAACTAGCAAACCAGCTCCTAATGTGGGAAATGACATGGGAGAGGTAAGCCTAAAACAAACCAGCTCCCTAAGAACTACTTTCAGATTGGAGGGAGATAAGCTGACATTAACATTTACAATTTCAAAATTAAAATGAATGTGTGTGTATATACATACATACATATGTACGTACATACGAACAAGTGTTTCTCATAAAGACTGAAATTGGTGGCTCTCAACAGCTGACTGGAAAGGTATCACTTACGATGCTTTCTAGGTGCCTGGCACAGGGCTTTTAGACCTCACACCAGTTCTGTGAGGTTGGAACTGTCATTTCCATCTGAGATTATAGATGAGGAAATGGATGTGTCAGTAGGGCCGAGTGATCTGTAGAGCTGGAAGAGGCAGAGCCAAGCCTGGGACTCAGAGCTCATACTCCTAAATAGGATTCGTTAAAGGCCATCCTCAAGCTCCATGGCCATCCTCCATACACTGCACTTGGAGGATAGAGTGGAAAGCCTTGTGGTGCTGGGAAATAAGATTAAAATTCTGGTTGAATCAGGTCATATCTGAGTTTTAGTCTCTGTCGCTGTATTTCATGAATATGGTTTTACTTTGGTTTACATGATCCTTTCTAATAATGTGGCCATGTCTCAGGGGGGCCATACCAGAGGAGGCCATATATTTCTCATAGGATCACAAGTTCTCTTGAAACAGGTGGGTATTTAGAGCATTCATTCCATGTCTATTTCCTACTGACTGAACAAAATTGAATATGTTAAATTAAAAATTCTGGGATATTTTTCATTTAAAGAGTGACATATAACTCACAAAAATGACATGATTTAGTAAAGTATGGCATATTTACATGATGGATTATTTATAGCTATTTAAAGAGATAGCTACTAGTATAAACAGACAGGATATAAAAGTTTATATGGAATTATGCAACCTCAAAAAACAAACCAACCCCAAAAAGGTTGAAGGGAATATATACCACGGTATCGTCAAGTAGCAAGGAGGACTTTGGGGAGTATTTTCCATTCTTATACTTCTCTATAATTAATATTCTTTCTTTTAGAAATGAAATGTATTATTTATAATTTATATGTACACACACACACACATATATATATATTTACCCCCACCCCCCACCCAAAGAAACATTTTTCACTGTAATCAATATGAAAAGGCCCTTTAAATCTTTTTTTTTTTTTTTTATGGACTTTTCCCCTGACATTACACTTTCTGAAATATTCATATTCTGATTTCCCAAATTTGTTTTCAATAATTCTATCACAAACAATGTGCTTATTTTTAGATTTAAAGAAAAAGACAATACTTACTCCAGATTTTACCCAAAGTCTGAGAGGGTTTGGTAAACTGAATAATATTACATTCCTTGATGAGTTTACTTATCAGTGTGAGAAAACTGAACAGAAGGCGATCTGCAGCTTTTTCTTTAGTCTCTTCCATGATCTAAAAACAGGATGGATGCAAATCAACTAAGACAACAATTGCAAAGCATGTGATGGACATTTTTATCCCAGCGTGCAAATGTACATCAGGATTTCTCAATCTCAACACTACTGACATTTGGACTGCACAATTCTTTGCTGTGGGAGGCTGCCCTGTGTACTATAAGATGTTTATCAGCATCCCTGGCTCCTAACCATTAGATGCCAGAAAGACATTGCTAAATGTTCTCTGGGAGCCAAAATCACCCTGCTTGAGAACCTTTGTCATATACTGTGGGAAGAAAACTTACTTTAGCCCACATTTAAAAAAGATCCAACTGCATTGAACTATTGCTTTTATTAATAAAAAAGCATTTTTGAACACATTATTTAATCTATTAGCTGTATCACCTGAAGCAAAACTACAAAAATTAGCAAAACTCTCATTCCCTACCCAATAACTTACATCTTCAAAGTTTTCAGGATCAATTTCCTTTTCAATCACAGGGAGAACGGTTCCAAGTCTTCTTTCAAAAGCGACTCCTTCACTTTCCACAAACACTCCACAGACCAGGGCAGCCAGCTGTCTACTTAAGCTCTACCGAAGAGAAGCCACCAAAAGACAACGTCAGCACAACCTGGGAGGCTGTTTCCAAAACTGTAAAATTATGAAAGTGGGCATGTTCTGTTCTCAACAGTTCCTTATGAAACCAGAAATCAATGGAAAATGGATCATTGGTGACAAGAATATGGAGAAATCTTCATATCCAAGAAAAACATTTAAAAAAGTGATTCGCCCTAACCAGTTTAGCTCAGTGGATAGAGCGTTAGCCTGCGGACTGAAAGGTCTCAAGTTCGATTCCGGTCAAGGACATGTACCTTGGTTGAGGGCACATCCCTAGTAGATGTGCAGGAGGCAGCTGATCGATGTTTCTCTCTCATCGATGTTTCTAACTCTCTATCCTTCTCCCTTCCTCTCTGTAAAAAAATCAATAAAATATATTTTTTTTAAAAAGTGATTCATCTTTATCCACTGAATGATTTTTTCTTATTTTAAATGTTTAAAAAATCGAAAAGTTTCATACCATCCTGCCACGCCCCACCTTCTGACTTTAATACTAAAACCAGTATTACGTTATGATGTGTTGTTTATATTCCACAAAAGATGGGCCAGTGTTAATAGCGGTAAAGTCAGCAAGTGGACACAATCACTGACAAAAATGACATTCCATCAACTGAACAGCAAAATTGGAAACAAAAGTACTCATCAATGGGGGATGGTTATGTGAATTAAGACACATTCTTAATAACTGGCTGACATTCACCATGTAGTGGGAATACGGGTGATTCTTATGTTACATCTACAACTTATTACATCTTCTGAAATTTTACTATAAGAATATATTATTAACATAAACAAATAAAAATAATAAAGCTATTTGGGAAAAATTAATTCAACAATGAATATATGTTATTTAAAGTACAAACACCAAAAGCTAAGAGTTTCCATTGGAATGTGGTTCAAAGCAACCCTAACCTTCTTTGCTCCAAACCAGGTGGTAACCATATCGAAAAGAAAATCTTTTTTCTCAAGGTTGATTTTACTGAGTAAGGATTTGATCGCAATGGATGCCATCTTTTTACACAGGGCAGAGTCATCATTCACCATCATTAGACAAAGAGGAATAAAGAACATTCCACAGTTCTCATGGAGCAGTCCCTAAAAGAAAACGGGCACATATGAGCACACTGAGACTGGAATCCCAAGATGCCCCACCGAGGGAGGACCGTGGGCACCCGAGGGATCGAGGGAAACACAGTTACCAGTTTGTCTCTGTGACAGAGGGTACCTGAGGGAACGCGTCAAAGAGATAAGCAATCATTTCCAAGGCGGACTCTCTGCCGGTCTCATGTTCATAACTAAGGCAAGAAGAGCAGAAGGACTCGTTAGTATCTTTTAAATTTATCTATTATTTTTAAGAATTTAAAATATTGTCTCAAGATGCCAGTCTATTTTTTAAAAAGTGGAAAACACTCCATTTTCCCAACTGCTGTGCGGTTTTACATGTACTTTTCTTAGATCTTTACCATTCTCCTCAGTGGACTCTAGTGACCATCAGTGGTCATACTGAAGTGAAAGCTACTCAGAACTGCTACATTTGCTAGTTAAGTCAGTGACTCACAGATCGTCCTCAGAGAATATGCCCTATGTTTAGTCTTGTTCTTTGCAAGACAGCCGCCACATTGAGAGGAGAGAAGAAACTTCCCCACTGCCTTTGCATGTTTTATGGCTTACACTTACTTTAGTTGAGCAAGCATGAATTCCAAGTTCGGTCTCAATTTATCACCCAGGGGATAGTCAAGAATATATTTCAGAAAAACCTAGGAACAGAAGTCATACAGAAGATTATTGGGATTCTACCGCTCCAGGATTCCTGTTTCCTAAGCTGCTTTCTGGGATAGGTTGGTAGGTTAAAAAGACCTTTCAGAAGAGTGATCGCTTAGGTGAACTTGGCCTCCTGAGCTGAGAACTGTAACCCTTCCTCTCTCCTCCCACCTCACTTACCAAGGTCCTGCCCTACACACCTGACCCAGAGTCAAGTCTTGGCCCACCCCGGGCTTGGCTGTTTAGGGCTCCAAATCTAAGATCACACGTTGGAAACACTTCTTGCTCTGATAGGTGGTGTGATGTAGTGGACTGAATATGGATTGTGGTTCAACCCCGTATGTCCCCTTAAGAATAACAATAATGTGGTAATAACATTAATACTGATAATTGCTGCACTTACTAAATACCTTCTATGTGCCCAACACTGGGTTGCTTCCCAGTTAATATTCATCACTTCCTTAGGAAGTGGGTGATGTCGCCCCATTTTACAGATGAAGAGAATGAGTTTGGCAGAAAAATAAGTAACTTGCTCAGGTGGCCATGCCTATTCTATCTGCATCCAAATGCTCTGCTTTCAAACCATATACTATTCAGACTCTTTTATTAATGAACTAGAGCAGTGGTTTTCAACCGTCTGGCCCTTTAAATACAGTTCCTCATGTTGTGACCCAACCATAAAATTATTTTCGTTGCTACTTCATAACTGTAATGTTGCTACTGTTATGAATCATAATGTAAGTATCTGATATGCAGGATGGTCTTAGGTGACCACTGTGAAAGGGTTGTTTGACCACCAAGGGTCGTGACCCACAGGTTGAGAACCACTGAACTAGAGGCCTGGTGCATGGATTTGTGCAAACTGAAAGAAAATTAGTTAGAAGGTGGCCAGTGGGGCAGGACTAGGCAAGACAGGCTGGACATGCCCTGGAGCCAACCTCCCACAGTCCCTTCCCAGACGGCCGCACCTGGGGCGGCGCTGTGGCTCAAAGGTCATCTGGGGAGCGAGCAAGGTCCCTCCAGCAGGTGGGGTCCCTTAGCCTGGCCTGCCGTGATTGGCCGAAACTGGCTCTCCGACATCCCCCGAAGAGTCCCGGATTGCAAGAGGGTGGTTCTTGGGTGACACCCCCCGAAATCAGGCTTCCTTCTCTCTGGTTCCAGGGTACATCACCAGAGAACTGCAGCTGCCAAGTCACCACAGCTCGGCAGCTCCTGCATTGAGCATCTGGCCCCTAGTGGTCAGTGAGTATCATAGCTACCAGTTGGATGGTTGCTTAGCCTTTTATATACAGGCAGTCCTCAGGTTACGTCGGACTCAATGTACATCATTTTGTGGTGATGTCGCCATCTCCCATTTACAGTATTTATTAAAAAAAAAGTTTTGTCATTTCGTCGTATATACATACGTGCTTTATGTTATTATTTATTTACCACAAGTAAAGGTCATGAATTGTTATATTTCTTTTAAATTTTTTTTTACTGTTTCACTTCATTACTGCATGTAAGTGCTCCATGTGAGTGACGTAGGTGCTTAAGTAGTTACGTTCCGACTTATGGCGAAAATTGCGTTATGTCACGCCATAGGAACGGATCTCTGACGTAACCCAAGGACCTACTGTATATAGATTGTGAGAACCAGGCACATCATTAAACTTTCTAGGCCTGTTTTTTCCCCAGCCATAAAATGGGGAAAATTACAAATAGAAGTCATGTATGCAAAGTGCTGGGCACACAGCTAGCGCTTAATAAATAGCAGCTAGCTCTCCTTCCTAAAAAGCAGTAGTTAAGGAAACATTTTCTCAAGACAAGCTTCTTTCCTTTCTTCCCTGGCCTCCTTAGCAGCCTAAACTCTCCTTTAACTCCGAGTTCGTATTTCCAGTTCAGACCCTTCCACATCCTGGGCTGCTCCCGTGATGAGGGATGCACACGTCTGAAAATAAATATGCTCGTGTCACTCCCCTGCCTATTGATTTCAATCGTTTTTTGGCTATTCTCAGAACAAAGACCTATATCTAACAAGACCAGATGGTCTCCTCTAACCTGGCTCCCTTCCTCATGTCACTTACCTTCATTTAGCTCCTCAACACTCTAAGCTCTTACCCACTCAAGGCTTACTTCCTCTGGCATTTGCCACCCCCTTCGCTTAGAAGGTGAAGCCTTATTCTTCCTTCAAATCTTCCTTCCATGCCAATGCTCAGGAAAGCCCTGCCTGACTCAGACTAAGGTGGTTCTCCACCTGATCATATGCTCTTATCATACATTCCCATAGTTCACCAACTCTAAGAAGCTCACATTTTCACATATCTGAAATTAGGATGTGTCTTACAATTGGTAGCATGTGACCCTGGTGTCACAGCTTTTTTTGAGACATATAAATAATGGCGTGTCCTGTGATGAAATATGATAATACCTTTTCCTCCTGGCACTTATGATGTCTGTAATTAAATAACTATTTGTGGCATTTTGTTTTGTGCCTGCCTGCTGCAACACAGAGTGTAAGAATTCTGTTGACCCTCTTCTGGCAGCACCCGACACACAAGGATATATGTAAGTAGTTAGTCGATGGCTGGACCAGTGCATGGGAACCCTGCTGCAGGCTATCATGCTCTATCTATCTAAACATGCTACACATGGTGGGCTGTACTCAAAGTGCCTTCCTCACACGTGGAGTGTAATGGGTTCCTGAATCACAGAATAAAGCATCAACATGGCACAAAGCTGTCTTCAGAATTTAGTCCATGTTGCCATCTTTCTATCTAAAAACCAAATGGAGAAGGCAGGCCTGACCCCTGCTATGGGACTAGGTTCTCTACAAACCTGTCTGCACTGGACCCGGACAGGTTCACTCTGAGCAGAAATGGCCAACTTGGATACTTTCCGCATGACGTCATCAATTTCAGGGACCAGCAACTTTCTTGATAAGATGGCCTAAAAAACAGAAGGAAAAGACATACTCTTCGTGTTCCATTGCAGATGGGCATAAGCCAACCTGGTATCAAAGTAGCCACAGGCAATCTTCAAACATAATGGAAATACCTCCCAAAGAAAAATCATTAAAATCATTAAAACAGGCAACTTTATGTTATATATATTTTCACCACAAGTAAAAAAAGGAAAACAATGTCCAATATGGTAAGTACAAGTACATACCTGTATTTGTACAGAATTCCCTGGAAGTATTAATTAGAGCTCACTTTCAAATATTTTAATGACCAAAATCATCATCTTTATAAATTATATAATTTTGAAAGTCTACTGCTAGTCAAAACACTGTGTTCCATGTTATTTTAAGTATTTGACTCGAGGCTCATAAACTGTAAAGCCCAACATTCTGATGACGCCGTACCTTTAGGAGGCCAAACGCAGTGGCTTGTCTGGATGTATCATAGATGTCCTCCTCAGCATACGCCAGTAGGACCTGGAGCTGCTTTTCGGTTATCTGGTAAGACTTCACTTTCTTCACAAGTATGGTCACACACTGCAAGGTCAATGGTGAGGTTAATGCCAGGATGACCCACAATCAGGATCCAGTGACATCATGAGGATTTAATACATTATCAATGCTTTTCACACAGGAAACCAGCTCTCTGGCCTTAGCAAATAAATTTGGAAAACATTTTGACCAAGACCACAAAGGACGATGTGGAAAACTAGCTTTGATGTTAATCCTGGGCCCGGCTTTTTCTAAGTGGAAGTGAAAACACCTCACCTTGAAACAATTTACCACCATGTGGAAGTTCTGACCCCTGGCAGCCCCGAGCTTTGCATAGTCCTTCAGCAAAAGGAAGAGGTGTTTCGTCAGCTGCTCCGCTTTTGTTTCTATGGAAGGCAGAGGGAACCGCAAGACCCAGATCAGGCACTGCAAAGCACCTGTGATCACCTGAAAACCAAACCAAACAAAGCCAGTCAACATACGAAGCGACCGCACTCAGTGCCCCAGCGCCGAGGCGGGGTCCTCTCTGCACAGTCGCAGCCATGCTGAAGGAATGACAGGCTCTGCCCAGCTCTCCGGAAGAACGGTGCCGAAGTGTAAGAAGGCAGGGGGTTTCCCATAGAAGAACTTACTGCTGTAGGATGACCCACAAGCTCACTTACCACATTCTTAACCTATACGGGTAAATAATTGCACAGGCTGGCCAATTTTTTTTTTAAAAAACAACACAATGTAAATGATTTTTCTATTTTTTAAAATGATATTTAAATTTAATCATTCTTACTAAGCTTGTATTATGTAAAATGACACTCTAATTAGTAAGAATACAAAAAAGGATGCCCGATGTTTTTCTCTCTCTCCCTCTCCCTCTTTCAAAGCAATAAAAATATATTTTAAAAAAGCCCAAGTGATTTACATGAGAATCCCTGAACCTCCAGCCAGGACGGTGCCTGGAATCAAAGCAGGTGCTGAGTAAGCATTTGGTAAATAAACTTCACCCTATTCACCTAGTTCAGCTCTACCCGACAAGACTGTCACTGCTCTGGCTGCCAATGGCCTTCCTGGGCTCGAGTCAAAAGGACCAGGGCACAGATCCCAGCTCTGCAGCTTTTACCTAACTGACTAGAGCCAATCAGCTCTCAGAACCTTCTGTAAAACAGACAATCTGAGGAAGGGGGAGGGTGTGTGCATTGGAATCTGAGATGGAGGCTCATATGCTATATGTTGTGGGGCAAGTCACTTAGTTCAAGGCCTAGTTTTCTCATCTATAAAGCAGAAACAATAATAAATACCCCATGAACTGTTCTGAGGATTCACAGCAGGGAGTAGGGGTAGTGACGATGGCGAGGAGATGAGGATGATTACTGACATGGGGACCCACCACTCACCCTCATGAAGCTGCTGCAAGGATTAAATGAAATAATTAATGTACCTAGAAGGGCTTTATAAACTGTTAAGGGCAATCCGAACATATGGGATTACTAAATTGGAGAGCAAAACCCAACTATCTTATGTCGCATAGGCCTAGGAGTTCAGGTCTAGGTACTTTGCAGGACCAGCTCTGTGGAGGGACAGGTGCTCACCTTCACATCCATGGAACCCAGGCAGTCTATGAGGAGAGACACAAAAGGATCCAACATTTCCAGAACCCGTTCACTCGAAGACTTGATCTTGGAAGTTTTCAGACTCAGATGCAGCAACTAAAAGATTTAAAAAGACATTTCACAGCAGGTGCCCGTAAGACCAAATGAGTTAGGTAGAAGTGAAATAACATAAGAGACAGCCTGAAATGTTAAGATGCTTCTTTCTGATATATAAAACTTTTGGAAAAAACGGGACACTGCCTGGGTGAGTCTCAGTAAGTGAAGAGGTGGGAGCATACTGTGCAGCTGAGATTCCAAGTACATTTACCAAATGCTTACTCAGCATCTGCTGAGATTCCAGGCACTGGCTTAGCACGCAGGACTCCGCAATGACCAAGATGGACATAGTCCCTGCACTGAAGGATCTTAGCCAGGGAGACAGACTCTAGGAAATAACTGTAAATGCAGGGTTCTGTGGGGATCTGGGCAGACGGAAGAGTGGGTGGTGAGGCCCTGGAGCAGGAACAGTGTGGAGACTTTAAGAACCGAGGGAAAGCCACATGTGGCTGGAACGTGTGTTGGAATGGTTACTGTAAAGCAATAAAAGGCCCTTGCCGCCCAATTGCAGGACTGGCTCGCTCCTAGGATAAATGGAAGCCAATGAAAGGGTTTTAAAAGGAAATGAAATGATCAGATTTGTGTTTTTAAAAGCTCACCACCTTTTAAAAGAATTCACAGTAGTTTAGAGGTGTAAACTAATGGGCAAAGCAACAATGAAACCATAATAATATTAAGTCAGAATCATCAATTCTGAGAGAGCTACATTATCAAAGTAAGTACTGGAAGAGATCAATATAAATAGTAAATGGACCAGTGCACCTTTAAAAAAATTCCGTAACTTACTTAGAGTAAAACATTTACAGTGGAAATAAGCAATACTGAGATTCAGCAGCAGGAAAAGGCACAGACCCACCAAGTGCAGTGAGTCTCACTTTAGGGTTAATTCTTACCCGAAGCCCAGACTCAATAAATATGTGCATGTTGGTCTTCCTGCTCACAACAGCTTTCTGCCCGCCTCGAACTGGAGTTGGGGGGAGCAGAAGACAGCTCTGGGGTGGCAGACGTGGATCCGGGGCAGGGGCTGCTGGATTTCTGTCAATCACAGTGGCATAAAAATAAATGCTGTGTTCCCATAGGCTACTGTGGCCCTCTCTGGGGATGAGAGTTGAGCACTAGCTAATGCGTTGTTTGCTGAGGGGTCTTTTCTCCCTTAACTGTGAGACACAGAGGACACTCCCAAATTCAGATGAACAGCAGGGGTACACTCCCTTTCATTGATGTCTGAAAACAAGTGCCAAGGAGTCTCTTTCAGAACAACACAGAAACAAAATCTAAAGGAAGTTTACCAGTATGGCATTTTTAAATCTTTTAAGATCTACATCTCCTTAGAAGCAACAATATGTATTGAGCTCCTAATTTTTGCCAAGTAGTTTATGGTATGCTCTGTAAAATAAAGAGAACTGTAAATTGGTGCTCAATCTCAAGGCATTAGGGAGCTCAGATTCTAATCTAAGAAACTATGGGTATGTGAAATGAGATTGTCCTGATATTTAAATGGTAAAACCACCTTTCGTAGATTGGTGAAAAGGGTCAGCTACTCTGTGAAATAAAGCCAGTACTATGTAGAGTTGCTATTAGGATTCAAGACCTAAATCTCCATTTGACCAGAGTAAGAGGTATATAGGATATTTAAACTCTATCCTAACTTTGATTTGATCAACATCCCAAACAGAAATGATATCAGAGAAAACACCACAAATCTTATAACTTAGATAAATATTAATTATTTTTTACTAAAGCAAAATTTTTAAATTAAAACATTTAAAACTGAATGTCTTATCAGAAACAAGCACCTAAATGAGAGTTTTTGTTTTTCAAACTTACTTTTCTTTCTCTGTTAACAGGGGGAGATTTTCACTGACCAAACCATAACTGAGCAATAGAATGGATTCTGCTGTCATTTCCTGATTTATAATCAGTCCTGCAATGATTCGGCGTAAGGTCTCATGAACTTTCCGGGCCAGTTTTAAACTCGTGGTATTTTGTAAGATCTAGAGGCAAACACAAATGTCACACTCAGGTAACAAAGAACTGCACTGGGCTTGGTTCTAATTTTTCTAATTAAAAATGAAACATTCTTATAAGGTTTCAAACAGATATAACAGAGTCAAATGTACCCATCACCTCAACCCCAGAGAAGACCAGGGTCAGCAGTGTGGGCGCCACCAGGTGTCCTGCAGCCCCTCTCTGCTCTCTGTGGGTAAGGCCTGAGGACACACAGCTGGAGACAGGATGTCACACTTGTGAGATGTTGACCCTCCAGGTGCATTAAAGCCATTTCCTTACATAGATCTGATAATAATAACTGTCATTTCCTTGGAGGGATTTGATGATACACATGGAAAATATATGTGCTCTGTTGACTTTTTCATCCTCAAAGCATAGCTAACATTCTTAGATCAGGCTAAATGCATTTTAGGAGCAACTATAGAGTTAATACAGCACCAAAACATTTGGAATTATAGTTAACTCATGCCATGAGATAGTGCTTTTTGCTCTAGTCTTAGTACATGTAACAGCGATAGAAAGAATAATGTTTATTGAATGTTCCCTTAAAATAGGCACAGAGAACTCTATGAAGGGAGGTGAATTACAGTCCCTGCCCAAGAGGAGGCAGCAAAGAAACAGGAAAAATGTGAGCTTCTGATCAGAAAGATATGGAACTAAATATTGACTTTCCTCCTTAACCTTGTTCCTTTCTACCTTCTTGAGCCTGAATTTTGTCTTTACGATGAGGTACCCTAGACCTCACAGGGTGGTTGTGCAGATTAGAGCAGATAACGAAGCACAATGTTTAGAACATTATGTATGTTCAACAAATGCCAGTTTTCTTCCTCTTGGCATTCTGGGAGAAGCAGTCTGGCTCCAAAGGCTATATTCTTAGCTGCTGACTGGTCCCAGATGTACTCTTCACCCACTCTTTGATTCTTGTCTTTCCTCCTGCATCTCAGGGTTTACAGCAGGGACTCTGAACTTTGGTTTACAACGCTCAACTCAGGGCTGCCAACTAGTGGCCACATGGTATTGGTGTCCTTACACCAGGGAAATGGTGATCAAGGGCAGCAAGGTTTGCCCTGCCAGGCTCTTTTCAAGATCCCTGTGCAGCATTCAGGTCCTCACCTCTTTTAGCGGAAGGATCAGTTTTGTCACCTGATCTTTTCCTACAAACTTGCCCAGGATTTCATAAGAATCGTAACTCTTGCTTCTGCGGGCCTCCATGACTTTGGAGAGGATCTGCTTCACTTCCTTCTCTTCGGCAATGGCACCGAACAACTCGTGGTTGAAAATCTTTAAAAGAAAAAGGTCGAAAGGCAGTTATGTACATTCAGGGAGATATGCCAACATAAGCAGTCTTTGGAAAAGAGCGTTGGCACGTCCAAATCAAGGAAAGCGAGTTGGACTGGACTGAAATTAGTATTCAGTTTCTATTATAGTTCACTTTTCTCAATGTAGTTTAGGAACCAATTACTAAATAACAAATACAGAAATACCTGAAGGTTTATACTAATGGGAAACAAAAGAAGAAAACTGTTTTCATTGTCATGGATAGGTTCTGCAATCGTAAGCAAAATGACGCATAACTAAACCAATTGTACCACAGGCTAACGGATACAAACATTTCAGCAATCTATAATAATAAAAGTGTAATATGCTAATTAGACTGGACAACCTTCTGGACAAAGCTGCGGCGGCTGGGACCAAGCCCCTTGGGCTTCTAGTGTTATAATGAAATGACATTATTCAAGTACCTACTGTGCTGCACAGATTTATACATATAACTGCATAGTATGCAGACACGTTTTAGATATCACCAAAGAGCTGCTTAATTTCTTTTTAAGAATTCTCATGACATCTGACCTTAGTAATAAAAATTAATATATTTAATTCAAAATGTTATTATCTGCAGTTTTAAATAATGAACAAAATGTTGTGTAGCAAATGTAATCTCTTCCAGCCCTAGTCAGTTTGGCTCAGTGGATAGAGCGTCAGCCTGTGGACTGAAGGGTCCCAGTTCGATTCCTGTCAAGGGTACATGCCTGGGTTGCGGGCGATCCCTAGT